CCATCATAACGTTTGCAAAGCAAGAGAAAAGAAATGTGGATGTAATGTTCAAGGTAGGCTTTACCAGTTTTTACCACAATTCTCTGCCCACCTCTCCATTTTCTCTATAAACCTAAAACTATGAGGCGCCAGAGTCAGGGGTTGGGGTGGGGGGGGCAGACAGACTGGGTAGTTTGGGGTATGGACTGGTAAAAAGGCAGAGAAGGGGCTGAACAATTTGTTTTCTGCTGCAGATAAGTCACGCAAAGGGAACTTTATCAGGGTTCAGCATCACTGCTCAGAGAAGGCGATAATTCAGATAGTGGGTGGGTATTTAAGGTATGGCGAGGCGCCAGTAAGTAGGGTCAGTGCCGGAGTATGCTGTAATGAAGGCCAGTGACTATTGAAATGAACGAACACCAAGGCCTCATCTGGAGAGACAGTAAACGAAATGGATGTATTAAAAAGAAAATTAATCAACGGCAGCAATCTATGTATGAGAAATAATCCAGTTCACTTCTCACGGGATGTATGGACATGATTAAGGTTGCATAATATTGCGGACGTAAGATTGTTTTTTTCGTGGCTTTTTGAACGTCTTCATCTGAAGAATAGGTTTATTGCTGTAATATATTAATGCTTCTGCTATAAAGACCTGCATACAATTCCTCCACTGAATTTAAGATTCTATCTCTGTCATGTGATATGCTTCCAAATTTCTCCCATTTGTGAATGTCCCATCATTGACCTCGCTTTTTCTGCTTTCACGCTCGCATTGCAGAAAACTCACTTGCATCATTTATAGCTGTGATAACTTTTCTATAATTGTTGTGCTATAAACACAAACAAGTACAAGCTTTAGGCTCACTCAAAGAATAACAAAAAACACCAAACCTCTGCACACTTTACACTACTTAACTTTCGATTTAATTTTATTATGTTTTATTTTTATTATTTTATTACTTCCCTTCTACGTGACTTTACCGAAAGAATCAAGAAGACTACTTAACTTATGTACATTAATGCAGCAATTTAAACGGCCTCTTCCTTATTGCAAGGTCACATCGTGATTTGCCTTCTCTTCCACAACTCTTGATCTGCCACTATGTATATACAAATCTTGCAAAGTACCTAGCATAACCAGCAAAGCAATAAAATTGCAATTCTGATAGTTATTGTATTCAGTGCACCAGACATCACCCAAATGTTATGTGAAGAATAACTGTGCCTTGGTGTTTTTGTGGCTTGAGCAAGTATCTGGAAGTCACAGTAAAAAAGGCTTTAACGAAACCTCTATGGCTCAAACTTGTGGAAAGTGTTGTACGCATGTACAGGCAGTCCTCAACTTACGAACGCCCGACTTACAAACACCTGCACTTACGAACCAGATTCCATTAAGTTGTTTTTTACGTTGATTTAAAACACAAACTCTCAATTGCAAATTGAACTGAGGCACTATTTTGTTCAGCTGAGCGATCCTCCGTGAGATATAATGAGTCAGCCTCATGCTGGGAGCAAGTGTGTGTGTCAGTTTAACACGTAGGCTTTCGCGACCAATGTTATTCATAATCAACGTTTTTGGGTTTAGATCGCGTTATGTATAAATGTGTCGTAACCCTCCACCACCCGACACGGCCAATCAGTCACGTTGACAAAAGACAAATAGTTCACTGCTTTAGCCCACCGGTGTGTTGAAGCCACAACATTTACAATTTTGTAAATGTTGTGGCTTCAACACAATTTTGTAAATGTTGTGGCTTCAACACACCGGTGGGCTAAAGCAGTGAACTATTTGTCTTTTGTCAACGTGACACTTTTATACTGATTGGCCGTGTCGGGTGGTGGAGGGTTACGACACATTTATAAATAATGCGATCTAAACCCAAAAACGTTGATTATGAAAGTGTGTGTGTGTCTGGGCATTTACATACAGTATATTACTGTGTTCCAACCATTCGACTTCTGAACGGGCATCAGGAACTAATTGTGTTCGTAAGCCGAGGACTGCCATATATGGAACTTCTTTCACACTGTACTTCGCCAACCGTGCTACTCGGAGATGCGGGGGAAGGACAAGAAACTAAACACAAAAAACAGTTTTATACCACATGATCAGTTTAACTCTTCAGATTCACTTAAAAAAGTAAAGAGCAGAGTTTTAATTTAGGAGTATACCATTTAGCTCTGTATCTAGTTAGATTAACACAAGCAACAATATCCCTCCATAGAATGTGCATGTGTCAATTGAAATAAACCCAGATTATGAATGGGAATATGTATTTCCCAACCACCACACATTTCCTCATGGTCCATGTTCACATTTAGACCAGAAATATAAAGATTATATAAGATATGAAAAGTAACTGATGACTCGTAATGCCCTTTGGGTTTTGGCTGCGTCTGAACAGGACAAAAATCTAATATAATTTAGTGCAGCATGGCTAAGCAAGTATGCATGCAATAATTTACAATTTCCATTGGTAAGTCTATAAATGTCAACATTAACTAATATACTCATATCATCACAACGAATCCATGTAAATACTGTACACATAAAGTGCACATCGTTTATTTAGAGATACTAATGCGGTGTTCGGTTTAACACTTGAACAGTTAATCATCCTCTTTTGTACTCTGTTTTACACAAGACAATTGCAAAGGTACTCTTTTAATCAATTACTTATTTTGCGATAACTTGTCTAAAACTTCATCCATAAGTCAATAAGCTCATACAAACTTTTTAATATAGTTATTGCCATCATATATTTAATACATACAATTATCGCAAACAGTTTAATTACATTTAGGTGGGCTGACTTGAATATGGGTTGTTATAAATCCAAAACAATTACGTCACATAGTTAAGGCTTAATAATTGGTTAACTCTTTTGGCTCTTCACATTCCTTCAATTTTCACTCTTTACATTTCAAAAGTCGTGAAAACTATTACACGTGACAAACATCTGTTTAATCAACGACGTAAATTAACGATCTTGTTTGCATTTGCTGTTTAATCGACTATGTGACTAGGAACAACTGTCAATAGAATAATGGCCCTACCATATGATGGACAATGTAACGAGTTAATATTGAATTCCCACAATGCCATACTTGTCAACCCATACGGTTTACCCATATTCTTATACGGGGAAATTTAGTTTTCAGGTCCACACGTACAGCCGTTTCAATACGGGCATAACAATTGCCTATTTGTTTGTGTTTCTCCCTTGTAATGGGACTTTGTAGGATGGACATTGAGATTTATAAGAGCACGGGGTGACCAATAATATCTCAATTAGTCTGTAATAAGGTAAGCACTGATAAGGGGATGTCAGGTATGCAATGCTATTAAGGCCCACAAGTTTTATGCCTGTGTTTGCAGCCTATATGGGGCTTATATGGAGACAATTAATGCAAAAGAATGCAGTATAGTTTATCAGGTTTAGAGTGCAGTGCTTGAACCACTGTTCTGTGAATTGACTCCATTTATGTGTGGGCATTTTTTTGCAAATAAAGGAAGCTAATAGGATGAATTTTCCAATGTCCTTCAATTATGCGTGAAACATTTATAAATAATGGGAGCAATGACGTATTTCCTCAAAGTAAATGCCGTGAAAACAGGCTGGTCATGACTCGTGGATAACCCACAGAAGAAAAGGAGATAGAGGCAACATGGTTGTGAAAAAAATTGATATTCTTGTGCATTAAAACTATTCATCTAAAAACACTGATTGCAATACTCATCTAACTCATTCCACTGTCACAACTCAATGCTATCCTGGCTGTAAAGCAAATGTTGCGAAACACCACCAAGATCCAGAATGAATTGCAATGTATTGTATGGATTCGCTATTCCAAATGTTTTCATGTGTATTCTAAGTCTGTGTGTTTAGCCATGCTTATCAATTGTGCTCATACGAGTGTTCCAAAGCTCATGCAAACAATGTGTCCCAAATCCATAAAGGCCCCATAAAGTTTCTATATATTCTTTGAGAAGATAAAGCAACATTTACAAATGGTGGCCTAGGTCAAAGGGGCAAAACCTGTGGGTTTGAGGTCAGGCTGCAGTCATTCCACACTCATAATCAACGTTTTTGGGTTGGATCGCGTTATTTATAAATGTGTCATAACCCTCCGCCACCCGACACGGCCAATCAGCAAAAAAGTGTCACGTTGACAAAAGACAAATAGTTCACTGCTTTAGCCCACCGGTGTATTGAAGCGTGAAACCACAGCATTTACAGTATTCCACACTCGCCACGATATTTTTGGCATAACGTTGCGTGCCAAAATCTGTCCCACGGACATGCCAGAATTTCCTGGGGTTCCCTTGTTTATTTGAGCAAGGTTTATGGAGTGATGGCACCGCACTGCAAAAGGAAGCTGAAGGCTTCAATGTGTGTGTTCACGACACAAGCAAGGCAAGACAGCGACAGCTGCAGCAACATAGCATGCGTGTGTGGCACTATTTACAGACTTTAAGCTGTTTTTATGCATGGGTTTGTGAGCATGTGAGTGGATAAGTGCACGTGGGTATTTGAAAAAGTGTTCACTATTTTAACTGTACGACATCCTTCGGCATGGTTTGCACAACATTAATAATGTAAACATCTTCTTAATGCTGTTTGTATTCCACATTTTCACATCCAAGCGTCAGGTGGGTAAGAGGAGTGAGTAACAGTGTGCATTGCAGAATGGGCAGGCATAAGGCAGTAAACACGTGAAATGAGCAGGGTAGGTTATAAATTGGTACAGAAGCAGCTTTATTGGTCGTGTTGGTAAAGGTGAGACATGGGCACGCGTGCATATATATGCAACAGTGTTGGCTACACGGAAAAAAAGGAAGAAAGGTTAGCCTAATAAACAAAAAACTAGCAATTTTTTTTCGCCACATATTTAAGTTTTTCTCCGTGAATCAACATTCAGCCTCACCAACCATTAATCACTTGGAGGTCCGGGCATATAATCATGCCCTTCGTTCGTCAGGCAGTAGCCAGCATGGGGAGCAGCTGCGTCCTCACCTGCAGCAGGTGCTCCCCCTCTGCTATAGGTGTGTCCAGGTCAGGTTGGATTCCAGGTGGCCCTGGGCCCATCGAGCCACCGTACATTTGCTTTCCATTTGTGAGCTGGTTCTGACTCCGATTCGTCGTGACTGGAGGGTTCAAGGAATGGGGGGGGGGGGGTTGAAGGTCATTGGGCGGCAGAAAAGGTGTTGGAAAAGCAATCAATAACATATCGTTTCCAGTAATCAAACACACACACATTTCATTGTAATAAATGTAAAAGAACGTGCAATATGAGTTTCACAGAACTGTCTTAATAAGTGTACCATGCATACAAAAGTAGGCTTCATCATGGATATGTTTGTTATGACTTATAAAATATGGCTACAAATAAACACAGCAATTAATTTTCCTTAATCGGGCATTCTCATCTCACTTCTATACTCGTGTTGCTACTGCATAATACTTTACATAGTAAACGTGTGCCTTTACAACCTTCCAAACAGATGTCATTGAAATATATTTAACGTGACATATCCAGGAAAATAACATTCCAAGCACACACGTATGATCCGTCAACCACTATCTTAACTTAATGTCTGACATAGGCAAGTCGGGTTGGGTTAAGCGAATACCGGTTTTGGGCACAGGTGGAGGGTTGTTTATTCTTCACGTATGAGGATATGAAACAGTCACGTGCTTAGGTGAGTCTCTCAGGTACAATCACCCAGTGTCACTTGTGCCATGTGCGTGCAAACCATCAGTATTTCCGATTCGAGTTTTGGCAGCACGATAACAGATGGGCAGACAACGATTTACAGTTTGTAACAAAAACTTGCTCGGTGTGAAGGTAATGCCACGCACATTGCCTGAATGGTTTGTGTGAAAAAATGTGCTTTTTGTAAATATTTGAAGGTTTTGGAATGTATATATATTTTTTATTTCTTTATTTTCAATCACAGTGCATCATTACACTGTTTGACAGTATTTTGCTTTACTGATTAAACTTGACAAAGGGTTGCATTTTGTAAAACTTTAACATGTACAGTAAAACCACTTGTAGCAAGACCCCAGTCAGGCAAATTTATGGGAAAGTGGCAAAGGCAACTAATATACGTGGATAAATACATTTAAAGTTACATTTTAAACTCTAACTGGAACATGGGTCACGTACTAGTTAAGCTGTGCACGATATGTTACGTGGCTGAGTAACTGGAGAAAAGTATGAGGTGGCAACACTACTCATACAGATGGAATGGATGGAGATTAGTCCACAATTGTTGTCCTGCTATCGCCCAGCCAGTCAGGGAATGGTACTGGTAGGAACCTCCTGGTTACAACAGCCCATAGGGGATTATTGTGTCCGTCCGTCGTGCATCCAAAAATGGAAGGGGTCGGGCTGGGTGGAGAGGGGAGGGTGGGGAGGGGCTGGGTGGGGAGGGTGGGGAGGGGCTGGGTGGGGAGGGTGGGGCTGGGTGAGGGGTGGGAGGGGTGGGGCTGGGTGGGGAGGGGCTGGTCACCCCGTGGTGCCCTTATAAAACTCAACGTTTAACCTACTCACGCCGGCTTGTGCCCGCCCTCACAGTCGGCCATATTTGCGGAACACACCACGCCGCCATTGACCCTGCAGGCCATTGACCGAGCAACCCGACGTTCCTACCAGCTCCCTCCGCAGGAATGTGTTAAACTCAACACCCACGGGAAGGGAGTTTCACAACATTTGTGCAATCCACCAACTCTCACCTCCATAGTGATGTATTACAGACGTGCATATCCGCCGCCACCACCTGGCATAAAGGCGCGTGGCTCTTTATCTTGTTTGATCACGTTTACTCGATCATTAATTGGCAAGAAAAGATCATCTCTGCAGCCTCCCACATCCAGTTAACCTTCCCCACTGCTTCATGGTGATGGTAAATGACTTGGATTAAACTGCAGAGTAGATTTACCCATAAGACAACTGTGTTGACATTTCATAAAGTCATATTTTTTGATCAACCCCATGGTAATAATGGGTTGTCAACCCCAGATCAGCATTATTACGTGGTTAAACAAAATACATGAACTGATTATTATCATTTACTTGAAATGAGCATTCCTTTTTGGCAGAATACTAATACAATACTAACAATCAACTAACTGTACATTCGACAAAACGATGCTATACATTTGTGTCACTCGTGAGTAGCACACCATTATTTTGATACAATTTTATTAACATTACTATAAACACACTTGCATAAATAAACGACTACTGCCACAGATACGACAGCTTATGCCATGATCTGTGTAACTTAGTTCAGCTGGTCAGCTGGGAGAGCCACTGACTTTCACTTTGACTGACCAGTTTTTTAGAAATGAAAGCCAAACCATTTTATACAATGTGCATCATGCCTGGGGAAGGCAAAGGGCTTTCTTGATAGCAAAGACATCACGCATTCTGATCAAGAAGCGCGTTTATACACAACCGAATGCACAACTTGCATATATAGTGTTGTATATATGTTTGCCCTCATGTTCACCATCCTTGACTAAAAATAGGTTGAGATTTTAGCTACATTCATATAAGTACGAGCAGCACTATTTTTAAATCCTTTATATTAAGTTCGCTTGCGTGCTTGCTTGCGTGCGTGCTTGCGCGCTTACGACCGTGCAAATCTTTCGGTCGTTTTTTAACCCACTTCCCGTGATCCAATCGAGCTGACATTTTGCACACAGACTCGTTGTGCGAGACAATTAATGTTCGTGAACATTTTTTTCCAAAATTTTACACTGTATAGGGAAAACAAATTAAATATTTAATTGCCAATTGTTTAATACTGGCAGACAATCATCTGACCCATAGGTGGCAGCCATCTCAAGCCAGAGGACGAGAGGACTCTAGCCGCCCCGATGCCACGCATATAAAGGATTTATAGTGAAAAACTTTGTTTTTACGGGTTAATTTTTTAGTACTATAATGAGCAAAGAATGTGTCCCGCGTGTGACGTCACTCCACAAAGAGCCCCCCTCCTCATTAATATTTACGAGTGGGTCGATTTTTACACTAACGCAGAGGAAGGTCGAGCTGAATTAAATAATTTATTATGCACAGTCGCTTCAAATATGACGTTTCTTTACAGAAAATTACGTAAAAAATAAATCTAAGCAGCACAGTGCGACATCCGTGCGTGACGTCACCGCAAAAGAGCCCCCCCCCCCCCTTCATTAATATTCAAACGCACAAGGTCGCGCACTCCACATACCGCACCCCTCATTAATAATCATGAGCGGGTGACGTCACTCGACATGCCGCACCCCTCCACAATAACCATGAGGGGGTGACGTCACTCCACATGCCGCACCCCTCCCCAATAACCATGAGGTGACGTCACTCCACATGGGGCACCCCCCCCCCCCTCATTAATAATCATAAGCTGAACAATTTTTCTATTGAATATTTCAGATTTACTGCAACATACACCCGTCCTTGGACGGGCAAAAAAGCTAGTTATATTTAAGTTCATGCTGACACCTCTTATACGATTTCATATTTAGAGGCTCTAATTTCTGGATCCTAATACAGTATATGTTTATAATTGCATTTTGCTCCTTTTACCCTGGTGGTTAAGTATGGATAAACAAGCATAATATTAATAATTTAACACCACTTATCAGTTGCTTCCTATTATCCGCGTGATGGCTCAGACAATAGGAATACTGCACAGATAACATACATGCTGTTGGATTACGGTGCATGGATAATAGCAAGAATGCATGAAATGAAATCGGAAACTTTTGCTACATCCCCAATAATCTACGTATAATTCACTAAGGGCTCTGTTAAACAATTGTAATATTACATGTAGAGTCCTATTTAACCTTCCTCTTCTTCTGAATTAAATTTATCTTACAGCAAGTTATTGAAAAGTTACTGACAGCGACACCCAAATAGTTGCGTTATCACAATGCGTGCCAACACAAACGGCGTGCCATCTCCATGCCCCCGTTGTACTTATATAATTTATTCTTTCCTAAAATGTTGAAAATTTTGAAAAACAAATTTTTTCACGAAAATTAATTGTCACGCACAACGAGTCTGTGTGCAAAATGTCAGCTCGATTGGATCACGGGAAGTGGGTTAAAAAACGACCGAAAGATTTGCACGGTCCTAAGCAAGCAAGTGAACTTAATATAAAGGATTTAAAAATATATTCGCCTGTGGAGGACGCGGGGATCGATCCCGCGACCTTTGGCATGGGAAGCGAGGGCGCTACCAACTGCGCTACTCCGCCACGGCCTGTGGAGGGGTTACGCCCTGGGCTCTTACACTCTGACGTTCAGCCAAAGCCATGAATGCGTTCTATTTGAATATATGTAAAATAAAAAAATTTGCCTAAAAAGTGTAAAATTTTGGGAAATTTTTTTCACGAACAATAATTGTCTGGCACAACGAGTCTGTGTGGAAAATGTCAGCTCGATTGGATCACGGGAAGTGGGTTAAAAAACGACCGAAAGATTTGCACGGTCCTAAGCAAGCAAGCAAGTGAACTTAATATAAAGGATTTAAAAATAAACGACACCGACGACGCTATTCTGCACATTGCGTTCCCACAGTTTAGCAGAGAAGCTAGGGAACGTGCACGGAAGAACAACAAAACGGGAGATGGAGCGATGAAATCAAGCCATGTACTTGGCAGCGGGTCACTTAAAACCTTCAGTGCAGTGAATTCCACAAGGAAATTCCTTTGGGATCTTAGGGGGTTGCCCCCACCTTTTGAGGTTTTCATTCGTGTTTGTTTTGGGGTTTTTGGCCCCTATATTTGTTTTATACGAGTCAAAATATATCTAACTTCAGAACCGCTCCTGAAAGTTTCTAGATCCAATTGCTTGTGATTTGTTGTGAGCATTTAGCTTCATTCATGGAAACACCTTAGATAAAGAATGAAACTTTAATCAACAAAAATAATCGCCAGCATGAAACATCAAACTAATATCTATGTGCGGCTCCAGGAGTGTAATTATAGACTGGGTTGAACCTTAATTAAAAGTGTGGGGGGGGGAGGGGGTGAATACATAGGTTTTTTTCAAAAGATCAAAGTGCATCACCATGAACAACACACAAGGATATGTTCTTAATTAAAATAACGATAAACCCCGCATTACAAAA